ATTATTACCCATCCCTGAAGGGCAAATTTACGACGCGTCTGAACTGCCATCCTGAAAAAACTTTTTTTTTCACGAACATTTGCCTAATTTACAGTTGCAACTTTGAATTAGGCAGAGGAAACTTCTTTCTATCTCTTTATTTACAGTTGCAACCGTGAATTGGGAGAGAAAACTTTTTTTTTTCAAAACCCATCCTAATTTCCAGTATAGTATAAGAAGCGATCGAAAGTTGTGTAACTTGTGGCCTGTATACCGACCTTCCTAGTGTCATGTCGATCGTCTATTGTCGAAGTTCTCTGATGATGGCTGATTTCGCAACAACGTCGTCATGGGAAGCACGAAGTGTGCATGCGGTGTGAACTAGCGCAAAAAATATGAAATTGTTGGGTTTTTTGTCGATCATTTCAGGGACTTTCTCGCGCTATGCTATCTCAGAAAATCACAATTATATTGTGTAGTTAGGCAATAGGAATGTATGTAAGAAATACTGACCAAGCTTCAGAATACCGAACAATTATTACCTATCCCTGAAGGGTCAATTTACGACGCGTATAAACTGCCATCCTGAAAAAACTTTTTTTTTTTTAGGAACATTTGCCTAATTTTCAGTTGCAACTGTAAATTAGGCAGAGAAAACTTTTTTCAAAACACCTCCTTATTCACGGTTGCAACTGTAAAATAGCCATAATTTACGGTTGCAACTGTAAATTAGGATATATTCAGAAAAAGGTTCTTCTGCCTAATTTACAGTTGCAACTGTAGAACAAGATAACTTTTTTACACATCTCTTAATTTACAGTTGCAACTGTGAATTGGGAGATATTGAAAAAAAATGTGTCTCCTGCCCAATTCAAAGTCACAACTATAAATTAGCAGAGAAAACTTTTTTTTTTAAACCCATCCTAATTTACAGTATAGTATAAGAAGCGATCGTAAGTTGTGTAACTTGCGGCATGTACCGTCCTTCCTAGTGTCATGTCGATCGTCTATTGTCGAAGTTCTCTGATGATGGCTGATTTCGCAACAACGTCGTCATGGGAAGCACGAAGTGTGCATACGGTGTGAACTAGCGCAAAAAAATATGAAATTGTTATGGGTTTTTTGTCGATCATTTCAGGGACTTTCTCGCGCTATGCTATCCCAGAAAATCACAATTATATTGTGTAGTTAGGCAATAGGAATGTATGTAAGAAATACTGACCAAGCTTCAGAATACCGAACAATTATTACCCATCCCTGAAGGGTCAATTTACGACGCGTCTAAACTGCCATCCTGAAAAAACTTTTTTTTTTAGGAACATTTGCCTAATTTTCAGTTGCAACTGTAAATTAGGCAGAGAAAACTTTTTTCAAAACACCTCCTTATTCACAGTTGCAACTGTAAAATAGCCATAATTTACGGTTGCAACTGTAAATTAGGATATATTCAGGAAAAGGTTCTTCTGCCTAATTTACAGTTGCAACTGTAGAACAAGATAACTTTTTTTACACATCTCCTAATTTACAGTTGCAACTGGGAATTGGGAGATATTTAAAAAAAATGTGTCTCCTGCCCAATTCAAAGTCGCAACTGTAAATTAGCAGAGAAAACTTTTTTTTTTCAAAACCCATCCTAATTCACACTATAGTATAAGAAGCGATCGAAAGTTGTGTAACTTGCGGCCTGTACCGTCCTTCCTAGTGTCATGTCGATCGTCTATTGTCGAAGTTCTCTGATGATGGCTGATTTCGCAACAACGTCGTCATGGAAAGCACGAAGTGAGCATTCGGTGTGAACTAGCGCAAAAAATATGAAACTGTTGGGTTTTTTTTCGATCAATTCAGGGATTTTCTCGCGCTATGCTATCTCAGAAAATCACAATTATATTGCAACTGTAAATTAGTCAGCAGGATTTTTTATTAAATTTTTAAATATCTTCTAATTTACAGTTGCAAATGGGAATTAGGCAGAGAAAACTCTTTTCAAAACATCTAATTCACAGTTGCAACTGTAAAATAACCATAATTCACGGTTGCAACTGTAAATTAGGAGTAATTCAGAAAAATGTACTTCTGCCTAATTTACAGTTGCAACTGCAAATTAGAACAGGATATGGGGATATTGGGAGATATTTCGAAAAAAAGTGTCTCCTTCCTAATTCAAAGTCGCAACTGTAAATTAGCAGAGAACACTTTTTTTTTTCAAAACCCATCATAATTTACAGTATAGTATAAGAAGCGATCGAAAACTGTGTAACTTGGCCCCTTTTCTCTAGGCGTCAATTCCAATCCGTTCGAAGTTATTGAAAATTATTTTTCAGGTGTAAGTATGAATATTACTGGTGGTCTCCAGAAATTGGAAGTCTTTATCGATCATTAAAAGTTGCATATCTTTGGAAAATCAAGAGATCGCTGAAAGGCTTCATAAGTCCGTAATCTTTGGGAGCCTCAAAGTCATGAAGGTCATTGGAAACTTTTAGAGATCATCTCGAAAAAATATAGCGTCAAGCGGAATCCATTGCAGTTTTGAAGGACAATTTGTTTTTCCGATGAGACGTATACTTTTTCCTGATGGATCTTGGAGAGTAACTTGTGAAGAGCATTGAAACAAAATTGATGGATCGCCCGAAAAACCTTGCAATCTTGCCGATCTTGAGAAAAAATCGACTTGATATCATCAGAGCTGTATTATCTGTCGATTCTTGTCTCGCAATATGGAATGATAACTTGAATGCAATCGATATGTAAATTTGAAAAAATCAATAACATTCATTTCAGTTCGGTGTTAACCTATAACCTGACCTCCCCTTCTACACCATAAGATCAGTTGATGACCTGGTCATGGCAATGCCAAGTAATAGATCTGAAAATTACATGCATATTTTTGAAATATGCGAGAAATTTTATTTCTGATAACTTCTCTGTATTGCCCTGTAGTTAATCATGAGGCTGTTGCATTCGTTCGTCTACTAAGTTCAAGTTTTTACTATTTCTAAATTTAGTGCTATGCAATGTGATATCAAAATTGGGTTAAAAACTTCTAATCAGTTTGTTTGCTCGACATTGATAAAAACGATCGTACTCATAGAATTTGTGTTTATGTGTGGATGTACGCGTTTTTTTGTCCCACTATACAATATTTTTATAGACTAGACATTATATACAGAGTAACCACAAATCTTTAGTTGGGGTAGAAAGGAAATTGTGAAAATCAGTTTATGGTAGACCTATGGAGATTTGTTTCTTCAATCCTTTGAATACTCAGTTCATTTCAATTTCTGAAGTTTTGTTTTAATAATTTAATCACGATTTCAATGTCTGCTACTGATGGACTCCTATATTATATTCGAATCGTGAATCTTTTTCAAAATCAGTATTTTGTATTCAGAAGAATTCGGATTTAGATTTTCTTTAGAATTTCTACAGAGATTTCGAATATATGTCGAGTTTTGAATTTTCGTTTTCAATCTCTATATTATAGAAAAGGAAGTCTTTATGAACTTTTAGTTTAAATTACAAATGATTTCTGAATTCATGACTCATATTTCTCAAAAACGTGCATTGAATACATAGTTCCTTCTTTATTCTCGAAAAATTTTCGTCTTTTGCATCGAAACTTTATTTTTCAAATGAAACCAGCATCGAATAATTCCTAAAATTCAACATGTCTTCTTCAATCTCCAAAATCTTGGACTTTCGTTCCTAAAACTATATAAGCTCAGATTAGAATACCTGATTGTTCTTCACTGATCTCTTAACTTTACCATGATACTAAATTTCGATTTCAATATCTAAATTGCGACTTCAACTATTATATCTTTACTTGACTGCTGAATTTTCGTATTGACCTAACCTGACCTAGTCCCATCGACCGTACCACCCTCTTTGGAATTTAAATTGCCTATACCTTCATTCATGAAATTTCTTTAAGCTCCAATTTTCGACTCATATTCCTATTGCTACAGAGTACTACAGACCTTACCTAGATTATAGGAAATGAAAATTGTGTATATCATGAAGAATGTCTGAAAGAATAACTGGACTTCAGGATACTGATGAGGATTTGATATCCGAAATGAGTTTTACTCGAGTGAAGTCATATAATTCCCATATCACTGATACGAATGATTTTTTTGGAAGTTTCGAGCTCATCAATACTTCTCCTATACATTTCAATTTTCATTTCGTAATTTCAAAACTGAACATAATTATTTAGTTGCAAATGAACCTCGAGACTTATCAAAAATTAGCACGATACAAGTAATATTTCTGAAGGGAATATCTTTCTGGAAAAAAATCTGGAGGTTTCCGGTCTGACCTCTGGAGCACAGAACATTGCCAAAAAGCAAAACTATTTTTTTCCAAAAAAAACTACACTTCAACTCCTTGTACCAACTCAACGAGACGATTTTGGATATAGGTAAGTTGGCCTAAATCAACTTGTTTTTATCCCAGGAGTCCAGAGACGAGCCATGTCCCAACCTTTCACAGACACCCTGTATATATCCATTTTTTTGTGTTCATAAATATATCTGAGAATATTCCTCTTCAATACCTTACCTAGAGTTCCTCAATGCATGCAAAGTGTCGAACACGTTGAGGAACTCTAGACTGATCGTCAGTCGATCAGCAGGACCAGGAAGAGTGCGCCTTGCCCGATCGTACACATCGCAGGCGGCCGGGCATACTCCCCTCTCAGCGCCTCGCTCCCTGGCCAGCACTCGGCCGGCAGTCGCTTCCACGGCCTACTTCCAGCGCCGGCCAGCGCTCCCCAACTGTTTCTGTAGTACAACGCTTACCGTTAACGCGCACGGTCGGTCGGTCTGCAGCGCTCTGACTGACTTACCTGTCTAGGACCCGCCTACCAGCGCTCACGTGTTCGTCAAGTGGTTCACCACTCGCGGCGCGGGTAATCGTTGATTTGCGAATCGTCATGTCGGAATTATGACCGATTTTCTGGTGGCGATTTTTCGGTAGGGTTGAGGGTGATTTTCGCGGGGTTGTTTGGAAACGTCGCGTGGATGGATTTCAAGTACGATCAATGGAAAGACATGTATTCTTTAGGTGAGATTGGTGGAGTGCAGAGTGTCTAGGAGATCTGACAATCAATGCTTTTTTGGAGAGTGCGGATACAATTCGATGAAGATGAATTTCTCATCCGTCAATTAGAAGAAAACGTTCATTCAATCTTGCAGAATATTCTGAATGCTTAATGAATGAAACAACAGTTGTTGAAGTATTGTGAATGGGCAAACTAGATACTTATGTATGACAGTTCTTATAGTCAATGGGTATGACAAGGGGTTTTCATTATATTCACGTCTATTTTTTCTGCAAAGAATACCAACTTTCCTTATTTTGGTACCTTTGCAAGAACATAGGTGTATGAGGATATCTTATAAACAAAATAATATGCCTTCAGTGATAAGCTACTGGTCCATCTTTTATAATAATGATTAGGTATTTCATCATATGTTCCAAGAAATGACAAGTGTGTCCTAGCTCTCTCACTCATAAGAAAGCATTAAATGTCAGATCTTCCAGGCACTCTAGTGGAGTGTTGTAGAGCTTTCTTCATTCAACTCCCATTATGTTTGTGTACATTTTTGTCGACGAACGTATTTCCTGGTAAACAACCGTTATTGTGTATATTAATAAGGACATACTGTGGTATTACGCCACTACAGCCCAATGAAATCTGGCTATGCTATGAGGTATTTCTGTGGAAGAGAATCCTAATGCAAACAAATCGGCAAGTTTTGTCATTGTGCTTGACCTGTAGTTTTTGTTTGGAAACTTCTTCTCTGTTTCGTTGTAGCGACCTCTATCGCTGTATTCGCAATTAATTTATCGCTGTGCATTGGTTTTGTGAGTTTTTAGCATTGGAACGCATGAAGTTTACAATTAAATGTCATCGCAGTTCGGAAAATGTCAACAAACAAACGTGTTCCTGTGGTGATATCATGAGGTTTGATAATTGTACGAGAGGAGAGAAATAAATATGAGAGAAATGTCGAGATTATTTGATAAGGTTCGACTGACGTGAACTTTATGTACTGCGAAGAATGTAATAAGTAAGTACGCAGTTTCAGTTTCTTTAAAAAAAAGGCTTTTGCATTCATTGCTTGCAGGGAAGTAGGGAGTATTCCCTAAAATAAAGTACCCACTATTCAGTAATTTTGCCATTGTTGTTGTTTTGCAATTATCGAAGCTTCCTATATAGGTGTTGTTTCTATAATATACACCCAGTATCGTTTAGTCATTGTTGAATTATCTTAGAAATGCGCAAGTGACTCAGTCGTAACCACTTGTTGCAGAAGAGTTTCTAAAGACCTTCGCTCGATCTTCGATTGTTTTGAAGTTGGCTGTCTCTCTCTATTGTGTACGAAATATGTTCCTGATTGGTGGGTTGTCTAATTCGATTGAAGATGGCGCTCTAAGCCTAACAGGTGTTGTTTTTTCAGTTTCATCGCTGATTAAATTAGTCTTCATACTCAAGAAACTCTAGAGTTCAAATCAATCATCAATTCTATGATAGCGGTCTCTGATGTGGCATATTATGTTGTTTGGGGTATACGTACGAGAATAAACCCCCATAGTTACTCATAATAAGTATCTAGCTTATTAGCTGAAGACTTTTTGTGCAAAATCAGTAGGTATACCTACTTCACTTATTGTGCCTGTGTTTAATTTCAACATTATTCAGAATCAATTGAAGTGCCTCTCTATTTTTGAATTATGCCGGAAAATATGTGACAAAAAAGTTTGGAGAACTTCTGATCAGATTGTATATATTATATTCTGATCTGAATAATTTTCATCAGCTTCCATATATAGTCAATCATGATGAGAAGCCAACTATAACATTTTTGTATCAGCATCCTGAAAATTTGTCTCGCCACTTCCTTGTTGACTCAGCCACAGATTTCAGGAGAAATCTTAGCCGAAATTATTCAAAATGGACAGATAATATTATGTCTGTCATCGAGATCTGTCACTTTCAGTGAATTTTGTTAATTTTGGAATGGAAAATCGAAAGATTTAGTACTGACAATGACATGAATATTGCCCGTGTATATTTATTTGTATACATTTCATACGATTATGTGTTTTGTGGTTGTGTGTTATCCTAGGATTCGTCGTTCCGTGATGTTTGAATTCTCATAACATTTTGAATTTAAACCGCGCAGGCAGAAACTATAACTGCTGAAGATTAGTAAATGTTTTCAACAGTTACTTGATTAACGAAATGTAATTTTCGTGAGTATACGAGCGATCAAGAATTGGATTGTAACTCAGAAAAAAGCAATTTTCCTCACAAATATCATTTTTTCCAATTGGAACACCACGTGTTGTTGGGTTAGCAATAATTATTATGGATTCAGTCGAATTTTTCATGCATAAAATGGAAAAATACTTTATATTAATTTGTGTACGGAGAAGATAATTTGGAGCTAAGTCGCAAAAAGCTGAAGGGTTCTGAAGAAGTAAACATCCTTATTTTGAGGTAAATAGGTCGAGAGATTATAACCATTTACTTATTTACGAAGAGCACGTTGCAGCTCAAGCCTATATAAATTTAGATGTTTTTAAATTCCGACCGCGACGCCCTCTTATTTTTATGATACAGTCTATTCACTTCACAGAAGTTCTTTACATTTCGACTGTATTTTTTTAGGATGTGGAATGTGGGGGTATCATCTCCTGAATTTTCTCAAATGGGAGTGGGGGTCAAGTGATATCTCATTCAAAAGAGCTATCAATCAATGTACTGGAATACTGTTCCCATATTTGGAGTGCAGCTCCCAAACATACCCTGAAACTGTTGAATTCTGTCCAAAAAAGGGCAATTCGTCTCAATGATTGCCAACGTCACCAATTGTCAATTGAGAACTGAAAAGTTTCAAGACAGATACCAATTTGCTATTCAAATAACCATTTTTTATGTTGAAAACGGGAGCAGAATCGGTCCCGAAACGTCCAAAGCTAAGTGAAAATTTGATAGTTTTTCTATATACCTTTATTTCTTCACTGACAAGCTAGTGAATTTTTCTTTTAGGCTCTCTGATAGGAAAATTCTGCAAACGTATATTGAAATTATATTCATATGTTTTTTTATACCCTCACAATTGTACGGACATTATCTAAGTGATTTATAAGGATCAAAATATCATCTTGCTGGATTGAGAACCAGCCACTATGCTTGTTAGTGTTCTATTTGCACGGAACAAACCGCATTTGCTCCTTATTTTATTTTCAGGCGGCGTAAAAAAAACAATTGTGTGGGGTGCAATTGGCTCGGCAATTGGTCTCGACTGAAAAATGTTTCCTGAAGGTGAATGAATTAAGAACATCAACTATATATGATATTGTGAATGATTTTATGTATTGAATGGCAAATGAAAACATGATTCAACACGGTGTGTTAAAACTGTCCTCCATTCCAAGAATTTTGAATTGCAAAAAGATCAAGATGAAATTTACGATTTGTTGGATCAGATCTGGAAATCGATTCCGATAAAGATGACCAGTGGGAGTTGAATGCACATGAACAGGTAGAAGTGCCAGACTGCCAGAGGAATATTTGTTGAGTAGGTGGATGAAAATGCCAATAAACCAACCGTTCTTCTTGCAAATGGAAAAGCTGCTATTCCAACAAATGACAACCGATATGATGAAATTGACCACTGGCCTGTCATTGATTTTTCGAAATCACCACGGACTTGCTGACTGGAAAGTTGCAGCCGTTCAAAGACGTGATGTTAAAAATGCAATGTACGCCTATGTCTGTGCTTGAACAATGAAAGTAATTGTTTCATCACTTTTCATAACAAACCATAAACAATATATGCATTTTCCTCCATGATTAGCGTTTTTTTCATTCTGAGTTGAAATGCTCATTCCACTCCCGAATAACACGATTGTAAGGGTCCTGAAAATAATATTACATCATCCTGGAAAAATTCGAACAAAATTCAGGAAGTTTCTGAGGTTGATTGATTGTCTTTATTACCCCAAGAAACATTATTGTTTATAATAGGGATATATACAACAAAACATAATAATTGCACAATTATTGTTTTTCCTAAAAAAAAATTATAATAAAATATAAAATGAAGATATTAAAATCCATTACAAGTAATCAAATTGTGAATGATAAGTTCTATTAGTAGATATGGAATTAAAGTTTACTGAGCAGATATTTCTTTAATTTCATTTTAAATTTTTCTGGTTCTTCTATATTTTTCAACTCATTAGGTAAGGAGTTATACAAAATTATTCCATTATAGAATATTGATTGTTTACCAAAATTTGACTTATAATTATTTGCTATCGATAAATTGAATTGCCTTGTTTCATGGGCGTGAATCGTATTAACTTCATTAAAATTCAAATTCGATATTTTCAATTCCTTCCTGACAAAATGAATAAAACAACAAATTTTGAGTTTATATAATGAAACTAGATTCAGCAAGTCTTTAGGTTTGTATAGATTCGCAGTTGATTCTAAAAAAGGTAAATTGAAAATGCACTTTATTGTTTTATTTTGTAATTTCATGAGTGGCTTCAAACGTGAAATATTTGTACTTCCCCAAATAGATATTAGATATTGTATATTTGAATAAAAAAGACAGAAATAAATACTCTTTATGTATTTATCTGATGGCATGTCATAATGACAACGTTATGTCACTCAATTTTGATGACATAAGGAAGCTCATTATGGTACTAAGTACCATAATGAAATTCTATAAGGAAAACATGTAATGGTTTGATCAAAAAAGTTTATTCAAAATGCATAACTATGTACAAAACCGAGTACAAAACTATTTATTATGAATGGTAAAAGAACAATTACTACAATTTGTAATATTAATATAATGGCAAAGCACAGCTCACTCACCTACTAATATTTGAAACTACACAATACTTACTCCTTTAAAAATAGTTGTCATTGTGACATGTCGAAAATACAGTTTTTAATTTTTCGAAAATGTATTGATATAAATGCCATCAGATAGAATTTTGTATGTAATACGAATCATAAACAATCATTATGGCAC